ATTGTCTATTTGACAATCAATACACTACCATAAAATAAAATGGGGCTGTAGTATCATCATCATAATTTCTATTTCAAATGGTTTGCTGAGAGCCAAATTGTGTCTTTTATGGAAAAGAATGACAAATGGTTTAATTCAATATCACACGCACATGTATATATGAGCTGAAATTCTGTTGCAGCTCAAAGCTGTTAGGCAAATATTTTAGGATCATCACAAGTTTGAAAACAACAGACATGTGGGAGTACATCCATTTATTTACAGTTGTACTGACTTAAAATTCAAAATGTTATTTGATGCTTTTAAAGTACTGCTGTGGGATGTTAAATTACTACTGAATTCGTACTGTTCTGAGATACCTTTCAACCTGCCAAGATGCATGATGATGATGATGATAATAATAATAACAGCGGCAGTGCGGGGATCTTTAAAATAATGCGGGGCTCATTCCTCCAAGATAAATACCATTTTCACTAACCCCCGTTTTATGATTCAGCATTTCTGATGCAGCAAAGTGAAATAATGAAAGTAAAATAACAACAGGTTTGTGTGGGATGGGAAAGGGAAAATGAGCATGTGCATTGTCAGAATTTTTGCAAAAAATTGAGAAAAAAAAAAAAAGAAAAAGCTCTTATAAAAGGCACTTCCCTCCCCCCGGGGAAAATTCCTCCTTTTGTTTTTATTATTCACCACATTTCCTTCTTTTATTCCTCTTTCTGATCTCGCTCTTTTGTTCCCTTTCCCTCCTCAGATGATTCTCCTCCTCGCAGCGGGAGGCTCCCGGCAGCTGGGGACGGAGAACCGCGGCCCGCGGGATGGCGAGGGGCTCGCCGGCAGGTGAGCTGCTGCGGGCTGGGGGAACCGGGGGCCGAGGAGGAGGCAGGAGGCAGCCCAGCGGCTGCTGCTGCTGCAGGCTGTGGGCACAGGGCCTGCCGCTCCCTCCCGCCTGCTGCGCCGACTCTGCGAGGACAGGGTGGGTATGTGAGGAGCTCGCGTGTGGCGGTCGTGGCTTCCCGCACCTGCCGTGCTCAGGGCCGCGGAGGAAGAGGGAGGAGGGACAAATAGAAGGAGGAGGAGGAGATGAGATGGCAAATGTGTCCTCTGGTGAGGACGGGGGCTATAACCCACCCCTCAGCTGTGCCGCACGCGGGCTGGGGAGCGGGGATGCAGGTGCTGGCTGCTGCTGACCCTGCCTCCCGTCCCCATCTGGCAAAACTCTGAGCTCAGCGCAGGCTGCGCCAGGCACGTGGCAGAGGTACCGCGACTTGCCCCGCAGAGTGGGAAGGGAGACGGCTGTTTTGCCTCACTTTCTCCAAAATGCTTGTATCACCCATGGGCACTTTGTAAGTGCCGCAGCTTGGCCGCAGCCTTGCTGGCGTGGCGTCACACGAAACCTCGGTGCTCTGAGAAGAGATCAGAGGTCACCGCTGCGGGGGATCAGGGGCTGATTTATTAAATAGCTGAGTCCATTTAAGACACAATTCCTCAAAAAGAGCGGTGTACTCGAGGCGGTTCAAACGAATCAGGAAGTGTGCCAGCTGATGTTCCTCTGTACTTTCCCCAGCCACAAAAGCGGGGCTCAGCGCGTGGCTGCAGCTTGTTGCTGACCACCGGGTCACCTCCAGCCCCGGAGACGTGGCAGATCCGCGGGGCTGGTCCCTGCCCGTGCCTTTGGGTGAGCAGTGGCACTGAGCCAGGTGAAGCCAAGCCAGGGGCTCTCCCCAGCGGGGCCAACCTCGCGTGTGCTGCGCCGAGTGTCAGCACGGGGAGGGACGGAGACGCTGAAAGAGAGCCTGGGCCGCCCTTAACGCCTGCACGCACGGGCCGGGCCTCGACACCTGCACGGCTCGGCCCCTCCGGGGGGCAGCGGCGGGCTCCGGGCGGCCAGGCCCGGCCGCTGTGCCCCGCTCCCAGGCCGGGCGGCGCCCGCCTCAGCCCCGGGGCCGGCAGGGGGCGCTCTGGCTCCGGGAACGCGGAGCCGCCGCCGCTCCGGCCGCGTCCCGGGCCCCGGCCCCTCCGCGGGCGGCCTGGGGCGGGGGTGCCGCCCCGCTCCCTCCTCCGTGCGGGGACGGGACGGGACGCGACGGGCGGCGGCCCCGGGCGCCCGGCAGGTACCGCGGGCTCGCACCGCAGTGGGGGGGGGCGAGGAGGCGACCGCGGCGGGGCACAAGCCCCGGAGGGGCCCCCGGGAGGCCCGGCCCGGCTCCTGGCGGCCCCGCGGGCAGCGGGGGTCCGGCCCGGCTCGGGGCGGCCCCAGGAGGGGCAGCGCCGGCAGCCGCGTCCCGGCCGGAGCCGGAGGAAGTTGGGGACAAAAATACCGTGTCCGTGCCTGCTGCCCGCGGCTTTCTTTGTGCATCGCGGCACTTCCCGCGGCGCTCTGCCCTCCGTGCACTTCGTTTGCCTTTTTTTTTTTTTTATTGCTCGAAGAATTTATTCTGAACAAGAGGAAAAGAAGAAAAGCCCGTGTAATTTTTGCAAACGCTTTCAGGACGTAGTGTTTAAATGGGGAGCGAAAAGCAGGTTTCCCCTTGTTAGTTGGTGAGTTTGTGGAGGTGCGGGGTGATGCTGCCGGCAGCGCAGGTACTGCTGCCTTACACCTGGCTGCCGGCTGCCATTTACAGACCCTGCGGCTTTATGCGTCTCGTAGGGCTTGGTAACAACATTATTTTTATTAAAAACCTTCTGAAACAAAGATTATAAAGGACAGAGGAAGACGTGCTAGCCTCGCAGCCCAAGCACTCCTTCCTCGCAGGTGGTGATCCCAACATTTTGGACCAAGCCCTTAGCACCGTGACCTGGCGCAGCGAACCTCCCTCATCACCTCCGCTGAAGGTCTCAGCCCGGGGGACTGCAGGCTGACAGCACGGAGCAGGCTCCCGAGGCACAAAACGGCACGGTCTCACATTTCAAGAAAAAATCAAACTAAGCTAGACCCAACCAAAATAAAGCCTTGTTCCGTGCTACAGTAATTATCTGTAATGACTGCACATACTTTGTATCCCATGCACATGTTTAACCAGGAGCTGCATTTGATGCTTTAGAACGAAAAGAATTAATTTTTATTTTATTCCTTTCTTTGCTTTGTGGTTGATACGCAGTTATTTCATTCTAGGATATGTGAACAAATCCTTAAGTAATGAAATGCATTCTGCTTTATTATTGCGTGTCCCAAAAAGGCTGGTGGTGACTTCAACATTTCAGGTGGCTTTACATTGAGAAGATTAATAATCACGTTTTTATAGTTTTTTTTTTTTTTTCCTGTGATGTTTTACTTGTCTGGTCAAAATTACCCAGCGCAGCACAAAGATCAGGCAGCGTTTCAGGTAGTGGCTTATCAGTTATTGTAATAAGAGGTTTCCAAAATCCCCTCTGGAGTGAGGCATTCTTTAGGAGAAGGGGCAGGTTCCCTACACTCAAACGCGATCACCCCGGTGACTTCCTTCGCTGGGTTTCTTCAGTAATTTCTCTAATGTGTCAAGCCACTTTGCTGCAAAATAAATATTCAGAGATGGGGAGGGAGGAGGGGGAGAAGGGAGGAAAAAATAGGCTTCCCAGTGAGCTATTGATTTGAAATATGAAACATTTTATTGATACAAGAAAAACCCAGACATAAGGAAGCGGTTTGATATTGCACAATATTTGAAAAAAATCATGTGCATCTGTTTAGCACAATATACTGCATAATGACAGCAATCTTCCCTGTTTGTATCTATTCATCTGATTATACAGCGTAACAATTCTTTTCGCTACATATTTATTTACTAAAGAATTTTTTTTAATGGATAATAAATTAGTAAATCAAATACCATGTGCTTGGGAAAATACGTTAGTTGACTCCCTGCACACAAGATAGTTGCAATTCATATTTTATGTGATATTCAGTGATACTTGCATATACAGACCTCGCTATGAAGTTACGTGCTTCCCTTGTGGAGAAGACAAAGGAAGTTCTAAATCACTATTTAGTACTCTTTCATCTAGGCACATGTTATTTTGAAACGCTTCAGTTTGTAACACTGCAATGCAGCACTGATGTAATGAAGAGCTTTGACTTACTTGAAGTATAACCCAGTGGCCCTCTTTTGATGCTTTTTCCATAGCTATTTCTGCTGCTGCTTCCTGTCCTTGACCCAAAGATACATTGTGAAGTTCTCCTGAGTCAATGGTAAATTCAAACTTGTCCACTAAACAGAACAATACACTGTACTACTTTGAGCCAAATAATGAAGTGTTCAAACAAGCATGTGTTCTACACACAGTGTTTAAATGGCACACATCACGAGTCACTAAAGTGAAAAAAACAGCCCTTAAAAATATAGTTTCAATTAACCAGCTGAGCTAGGATATTGTATTGCTTTCTAGCTAGGTATTCTGTGTTAGCAAAATACTGCTGCGTCTGAAAAGCAACCCAGAAGCAGAGCAATTGATTTGTGCTAATGGATCCCTACCCATTGCCTATATAAATATTTTCATGCATGCAAAAATGGATATGGTGTACATGGTTGGCTGATTAAAGAAAAAAATAAAGAACAAATGAATTTAGTGTGTCACTAAGGTAACACTGCATGCAGGCAATACAAGGGGTAGACAAAGTCCTGACGCTGACTCCAGGAGTTTGCTCCAAGGAGGGTTGGTAAGTTCTCAGCCTGTTAAGGTGGTGGGATTGTTGCTCAGGTATCCTTATGCAAGGTGGATGACTTGCAGTAGTAAATGGAGAAGAGCAGACAGCTACCTCTAATTTCGGAGAACAGCTGGCATTCACCCAGGCAGCTGTCTGAGTAAAGCACGGTAACTTCCATCAGATAGTTAGTTTGTGCTCCAGCTCTAACACTGTTTGTGCATTAACATGTGACAGCGCTCAGCACTCGCTAACGGAGCCACCTCTTTTATTTCCCTGCCTGTGCTAGTTTGAATAAAGACTGGTTGTACTACGAGGTCATTTGGTAGAAATTTCTCTAATGGAAAACGCTGTGTTTCCTTGTGGTTGTTAGTGATAGGGTGTAGTCCCATGGTTCAGAATCAGTAAGGGGACCAGACCAGGAGAAACTACTGGGGAGCAGCGCTACCTTCTTTAAGGTTTCTGTGAATGCTGCCTTACACCTCTTCTCACAATTTTTTCCACGCTACATTTGGACAAAGATCCCATAAGTTAAGAATTACAGTTGACAGAGCCTCAGGGAAAACAACAGTTAAGGTATAAGACCCATCTACAGGGCATAATATTTTATCATGACTTACATTTGGGAGAGATCCAAGTACAACACAGGTTAGGGTCACTCACAGTGTAAAAACCTGTCCTTCAAAGGGCTGAGGCTAGTAACGCGAACTGACAGCACAAGTCATACTGTCAGGTCGGCTGTCTCACATCATTATCAGGTTCAGGGGAGAACTTTTTGCTTTTCATTCTTTTAGAAATTTCTTTTTTCTGTACGTTACAACTCCAGCGCTTCTACTTGTCTTTCCAAGAGCCTTCAATATCTCTGTCTGAGTCACAAAATTTATTCCTTGTTGTCTGCAATTGAAGAATTAGTATGGAGAGCCAGCACGTTTCAACATAAGCATGTGGATTTTGAAAATATATGCAGCTAAAGATCTTGATTTTGTTTTAAGTTTCAGGATCTAATATAGTCATGCCTAGGTGACTGAAGACATGCTGTTTGCTAATTTCTCTCCATGCAGAGTTATAAAATCAGGTAACTGTTGAGTTAGTGGTCAATGTAAATTTAGCGAGTTCATAAAGCATCCATTCCTTTTCACCTATCTAAAGGCTTCAGTACAGAACAGCTGTGAAATTAATGAAAAAGACTTGTAATACTTACCAGTGTTTATTTTTGCAAAAGTTTTAGATTTTATTTGTGGCCAAATTCCCTGTTCAGAACATTTTTAAAGCTTTTAAAACCATGGAGTACAGGTTACAGTTATCGTAAGCTTAAATGATAGACATATAGAAACATTTCTCATAGTGCATGAATCAGTTTGCAGATGGTGATTAAGTACCTTGGTTTGCAAGTCCAACTGAACAAAACAGGGAGAAATTCTAAATGTAAGACTTTTCTGAAATACCTACTGTCACAAACTAAATGTGGACTTATGTGTGCAAGCCTTTTAGTATGTCAACAAGGCTATAAACAGTAAATTGTGCTGAGAAAGAGTATTATTAATACAGTATTCCAAGGTCAGCTGAACTCAAATTTCTTTAGAAGAAGAACGGTTTACATTAAGAAATTGCCAGGCCAGGGATATATGGTGAAATGCTTAAAATTTTAGAAGATTGTAAGACCCAGCTGTAAATTTTCTACTGTTGTAAAACAAGATAAAATAAAAGGGGGAGAACGGGGAGCTCTACACCATTATTTATAGCGTTGTAGAGGGATGTGCTGTGTACTGTTAGTTGATATTTAATTCAGAAGTGCATTCAGCTTTGTATTAGTAGCGACCACTGAGTTATAAGCCATCAGAACAGCAAAAGATAGGACAGAAACAAACTATTGACTGCAATTGCCCCTTTGAAAAGGAACAGGAATTTTGAGAGGGGAGGGAAGGAGTTTCCTTGTCTCTGGTGGTTTATTATTCTCTGGAAACAGGTAAACCAACCCTGGCTCATGAAGATACTTTAGAATAGGAAATGTTTTGCCTTTGAAATGTACGAGATTACATGTCATTTCAAATGGTGTTCATGGCGAAGATACCCCTGGGACCACCTTACAAGAGCTTTATTTCTTGCCTGCAAATTAGTCAGTTCAAAACACTTCTCATCTCTGCCTTCAGCTCTTAATACCACACACGCCATTCGTAAAATAGGGGATAAGAATGAAAAGACCCTGAATACAAAAGTACAATTAAAAAAATAAAACAAAAGTCTGTAAAGGCGAGAACAAGATGCATTTCAGATGACAAGGAATAGAATGAAATTTTGGTGCATTTTTGGAGGCATTTCAATAAACCCTCTTTTTTCAGATTCAGCAGGGGCTCGTTGAAACAGCTATGTTTTCCAAGTGGCAGACAGACAATAGCATCTAAATTATTTTTAAGAAAGCACTCATAGCACTAAAGCACCCACTACTACTAAATCCATCTTAGAGGAGAAGGGTGGAGGAAAAAGAAAGGTCAACAAATGTATCAAGTTCTTTGTGTAATGCTTCACTGACATTTTCCAACTGCCTTAGCTGGCTTTTATTTTTTTATTTTATATTTTTTAGGAATCCTGGTAAAATGCAGTGAAGGATTTAAGGTCATCATCTGTCTCTCCCTAACTTCTGACATCTCTTTATAACAAGAAAGAGTCACAGCCAACTGTAACAGGAGGGCAACACAATGAATCCCGGTAAGACAGGGAAGGGGGGAGGTCTGCTGCCCCTTTGCCCCTATTTCTTCCTTGCAGAACAGAAGTACCATCTGTTCCTAGCCCTAACATCCATGCATTTGATTTCCATTCCATAATAACTAACACAGGAAAAAGATTATCAAGTGATCTAAAGCACTATCAGCATTAGTGAGTCTTCCCCATCCAGCGTGTTTTGTTTGCACCTCCAAAGATCTGCAGATAAAATGGATACAGGCAAGTGCCTTAATTGCCTGGAATTATTCTGCTTTCTAGTAGAGAGCCATATGGTCAAGGTGTGGAACATGACCAGACTAAGGATATTTAGGTACTGGGGTTAGAAAGAGATTTAGTAAGACCAGACAAGAGGAAGTATGTTTAGATACTTCAACCTGAATTCAGTAAACCAGTCCCTATTACTTGGTGCTGTGATATCTCATCAGAATAATGCAAAATTGAGTTTCTGTTTGATGTGTGAGGCTAGGCAGTTGGTATTAAAGTATAAGCCACTTTCAAAGGAATCTGCAAAAAGTTTCTTATGCTTCATAGTCAAAATTTCTGCATTCTCAAATTAAAAGCCCAACACCAGCAAATCCCCCAAACACAATCCAGCAAACTCAGCTTCAGATCCAAAGAACCAATAACTTCTTGCCTTCCTAACTCAGTGCAGGTGCCAAAGATGCTGTAGATTCCCCACTTATGCCCAGTTAAGCCTGGTGTATTGTTGATGAAAGTAATGAGGTAGAGCAATAGATATCAGTGAAGGAAAAGCAACTACAATGTGATGTTTACAAAGCAAGGTAATGATTAACCAATAGGTTCAGTGGGACTTTTCTGTCCTAGCTCCTCAGCCATTTCAATGCTATTTCCTCTTAATCTCTATACCAGGTCATTTTATGTCTCTCTTTTCATCCTCTTATCTTTTCCCCCTTTTCTGGTGCTGCCTAGCCCATCTTGTTACTTAAAGCACTTTGATGACCAGAACTTTGATGTCCATGTTGTCAGATCCCAGCTTTCTACTCAAGGGCTGGGGAAGGATCTCAGCCATGGGAGAAGCATGGACTGTAAATAAACTCAGAAGATGATCTAAGAGGACAAAGTCATGAAAACGGCTAGCAAGTAGTTTGTGCTTCAGGCTAGATTATTTTGTGCAAGTCATACTTTGCTTAAGCTGCATCTGAAATCTGAAGCTGATCTGTCTGGCAAACCTACTGATGTCTACGTTGTCAAAATACATGAGACAACATTTAATTTCTCCAAATTTCCATTCATTTCATTGCCTTATTTTCTTTCTTTTCCTCCCACAACGGGATGACATTTTGAAGCATACTTTAAAGAGCATAATTTGATCAAATGATCCAAGGGAACTCCCTATAGACATCCATGATTTAACGCTAGATCTGTTCTAAAGGTTGGCACATCTGACAATGGAAATTGGTTTAACCCCATTTAATTTCTAGATAATAAATGTGGTGTGTTTTTCAGAGTCAGGACGGGATTTTGTTTACACAGCTCAGTCAGAAATATATCAAACAAGGACAGGGCCCAGCTGGGTATGGCGGTGAGCACGCTGAGCATCCCAGCCTAGCCAGAAGCAGAAGGGGCTCAACACCTTCCTGGAGCCAGCCCTTGTACATGTTCTCCTGTGAGGTCCTTGTAGGTGACTTCCAGGTAACTTCAAGGAGACTGGGCAGGAATTCAATGTTCGGCTGTTTTATGGTTCAGTACAATAGACACTTTGTGCTCTGAAAACAAGTAGGGTCAGCACTTGAATCTGAATTTTTGTCCTCCCTTTCTCTTCTCCATTTGGGATTTAATTTCCTAGCTCACAGCACATGCAGTGGAAGCCAGATCAGCTTTTTTTATTAGGTTAGGATTTTTCTCCTAGTCCTGACTCACATCCCTGCAGGCTTTGGGTTCCTCTGCTCTGTACCCATTTATCACTTTTTTTCAAAGGGAAGAAGGCAACTCTTGGTATGGGTGCAAAACTCAGAAGAGGTCTGTGCCGAATAAGAGCAAGAACACAGCTGCACAAGACTCAGCACACTTCATAGACAAAATGCAATGAAGGGAAAGATGACACTTTAAGCTAAATCAGACATCATTATACAATACTTTCCCCATTCAGCTTGCTCTAGCAGGAATATGTATGTGCAGCGGCAGCGCTTGGGACATGAAGAGCTACACTGAAAGTAGATACGTTTCCCATGTTTGAGGTGTGGATGGAGAGTAAGAAAAACGGCTGTCCCTGTAGAGGTGCCCCCTGCAGCAATGGCTTCTGTGAAGACCTGCTTTTGCGTTCTTAATGAGAAGACCAACATCCACTGCCTGAGAAGGTTTCCAGAGGCTGGGCAGAGCCGGTCAGCATAAAACAGCCCAAACTACAGCAAGGATACCCAGCAGAAGTACACGGATAAAACCGTCCACATTCCCTCTACCTGTGAAGACGAGGCCGTGAGGCACATGTTGCCTCCCTCTCTGACATGAGGCCTGAAAGTCATTAGGGAAAGGACTCTCCTGAGGACTGCGTGGCTGCATGTACACGTGTATGCACACACAGTTGTAAATGGGAGCTTGTGCAGGGTCCGTGCTGCACTGGGCTGCGTAAGTAAGCTTTTCTCTTTCAGACGGACCAACTTGAACGGTGCCTGGGGGTGATAGGCAGGCGATCGGGTCCTTCACCCTCAGCCTCTTAACTGTTTTTTATTTTGGCTTCCAAGACCTGAAATACTGGAGGTGTTAAGAGGTGATACTACAGTCGAAGCCATCTTATTGACAAAAGGGAACACACTGCATGTATGGACCTAAGAATTTGTTGTTAGACTAATAAATGTTTTAAATAGTCTAAGAGTCAACATTACCAAATTAATACAGGAAGGCCTCATTAAAAATAGAGTTAAAGCTATTAGACAGAATTTCCCTGTTCTCTCATGTTGTGCTTACTCCTCCAGGGTGCCTTTGGGTCTGAAGATTGACACTTCGGTATTTCTCAGAAGGAATGGGGGAGTATTATGGTGAGTCATCACCAGGAGGAGTGTGATATTCAGGGGGCAGGGGGATGCTTTCTCCTCAGTCTGGTGTCTGCTTGGATTTGATTTTGTATGTTTTCTTAACACTAGCAGCTTACTGTGATTAAATCACTGTGATGTGTCTGTGTCTGCACTCTTCCCTGTGACTTATTCTAAAGCCATACACAGTTCAATCCACAATGAAAATCCGCTTGTTTTTACTATGAACTAAAGTTAAATTAGTTGAGAGTACCTCCCAACTAGATACAGCTAAAAGAACTTAAAATCTACTTAGGCCAAGACAAACCCAGGGAACTGCAGAGGGCCTGCACCGTCATGTCAGTACAACCCCCCTTGCTTTTTACTAATAGTGGCAAAATCACATTTACTTGGCTATAAAGTCCCTTTGGTTAGTCTGTGAATTGCAGAGTTCAGCAGGGATTTGCAAACCCCCCTGTGACTGCAGATTCACAGCTGAGCAGCAGATCTTGGGAGTGTTCACACTGCTATCTGCTGCATCATGGACAGCTGTATAGATCTGACTGACCTGCATTGCTTCATCGCCATAAGAAGGCCAGCTCACAAAAAGTGTTTGATTTTCATTGTCTTCATTGTCTACATAATTTGCATAATCAACAGAAATACTGTGATTATTAAAATGAGGGCTGTAGCTTGTGGAGCTAAGTTAAAAATTCCTGTATCTGTAGGAGACCATAGTGTAACCTAATAGGATAATAAAAATCATATGCTTCAATTTAAGATGCATCACAGACACACACACACTCACTCACTCAGGCAGGTTTTACGCAATGAAGTAGTTCACAATTTCTGGAATTGGGTATGTACACAAACACAACTAGATTCCCACATATATGATTATAGATTGATTAGAAACAGAAGGAGAAATGTCATAATCACATCTGGTTAACTTTTTAGCTAAGCAATCATGTGAAGACTGGAAACTAATATCTTCACATTTATATTGCATATTTCAATGCTATTTTCTGGCATTCTTCTGAAGAGACTCACTGGAATATTCCATTTTCTTTGATAGTCAGTGTTCACAGATGCACATATTTAATAACAGAAACACGCCTGTTTTATATCTCCATAGTTATCTGATCAGATTTTTGGTAACAAAAAGAACTTTTCTATCAACTTGATACATGATTATATAGCTTAAACATTGTGGTGTTTCCATGTGCTAAATTCAGGCTGTTCTAATATATCTCCAATACAATAGTACACAAATTCAGAAATTATTCAAAGAAATATAGTTTTCCATCACAAAAATTTTAAACCCTGTTGACCCATCTTTGCTCCCATGTTTTTTAAGTATCTGTCCTTGTAAACCTCTGAGAAAAATCTGTCTCTATCTTCTCTATAGCCTCTCATGAAGTATTTTTAGGCAGCAATAAATCCCTGCCACCCCCTTGGCCTTTTCAAGGCTGAGGAATCACAGCTCCCTCGGCCTCTCCTGGCATACTGCCTGCTCCAGCCTCTGTGGCTCCTGCACCAAATGGCAGTGTCTTGTACTGTGGGAGACACCATAATTAAATCCATGGTTTTCATTTATGGCATCTACTTTTGTTCACACACTGAGTGTAACAATTTTAACTTGGTCTGCTATACCCTCTCAGCTGTACCCTCTTCTCGAGTTGTATCCTGTGACATTTCAGTTGGATGTGCTCCTGTTTCAGCTTTCAGTTTCCCTTTTCTGAAGCTCAAATTTCTGCTTATGCTGCCTGTTCTACATTTACCTTTCTTGCCACTAACCAGACAGCAAGCATATGCTTCAGCACATTATAGGCTTTCTGAGAGAAGAATTTAGACTTTTTTTTTTCTTTTAATTTTGCAAAATCTTGCTGTTCTTCCTAGATAGTTCTGCAAAAATCTGGACCCCAGAATGAGCATAATAACAAGGAGAACACTTCCAAGGAAAATAGTGAGATGATTTGAAAATTAGGAGAGCTTGTCTGAGTGTTCCTCTGCACAAGTCCTGGCAGCATTTGGCTCTGCAGTAAGCCAGTATGGAGGGCACCTGACTTTCCCCTGCAGTCAGTGAGAACAGAGGATACTCAGGACTTGGTAGAAAGTATTCTCCCTTTTGAAGGGCTCTTAAAGAACCGCCTTCCCCCCCCCCCCCCAAGAGGAAAATGACCTCTTCCCTTCATCTCCCCCATTCCAATTCAGAAGCTTAAAATGATTGTAGTAGCATTAGAAGCATTAGAAACAACACAGCCCAAAAAAATTATTCTAGCAAAGACAACAGAGCTGTAATTGCAGGTGTCACAGAATTTAGCGTGAGGGAGAGGTGGTGTTTCCAGAATTTATTTCTTAAATATTTTAGAAGTGTGTAAAGAGGGGAAGCAAGCAAACTAGCACACAGTGTTTTTCTCCTCAGTGGTTTTTGTGGACTGAGAATAGAGGGAACATGTAACAAGCATCTTGCTATTAAATTTGCCCATGACAAATAGTGCAGCTGCACGTAGTGTGCAAGAACATCTGTAGACTCATGACACATGCAGAATCCCCCACACTAAGAACGTGACATTATACTGAAAACAATTCAGTTGTAAAAGCAATATAAATCTGTTTTATATTGTCTTTCTCCACCTTCTCCTCCCCCTTCTCTTTTGAATTATGTTAACTGAAAGATTCTGTCACTCCTACATGGCATTAGTAAAAATCACAATATAAAAGTGACTAAGCTTTTTGGGATTGTCCTCTTTTTTCTTTAATGGCTAGAATGCAATTATGCCTTTCCTGGAGAAACAGAAAGTTTAAGAAAGAATAACCAGCAGCAGCAATGCATTAGACACCAGAGCCTACTCCAAGTGGAACTTGACTGGGTTTGCAGCTGCAATTTAACTCTTCAGAAATCAAGGGGTGATTTCCTGTGTCTCTGTCTCTTGTGCAGTTGTTCAGTTCAAAGTGAGCAGCAGGATTGCTACCAGCCTTTACTTCACCGCTGTAAATGCCTGCACAAAGGGCAGTGATAGGAAACAATATGTAAAAAATGCGTGGATTGCTAAAGTAAGGGGAAATTCCTTGCCTGGGATTTTGTGGATTTTGTGCATTCCTACATCTTCACATTCAAAGAATGCTGCTATTGTGGAGTTCAGTAAAAGCTCCATGTTGCTCTAATGTAGGTGTGTGCGTTTTTCAAAACCCTTGAAGTCTTTTATTCTCCCCAAAATGGTTTTAACAAAATGTTAGCTTCCTTTTTTAAAATATTCTGCCATTTTCTCCCTAACATACTTTCTTTGCAATCTTTAGATTTATTAAAGTAAGAAATTTTATAACGGCAACTCAAACACTATTTTTCTGTAAGTGTGAGGTTGTCTAAAGACTGTGATGATAATGTTATGACAAGGCAAACGTGTGCCATTAATACCTGGATCATCATTAACACATTTCTTGGGAAACACCTTACTTCCAGTTGTAAGGGCAATTCAGGCCTGATAACTACCTGAAGCTCCAAGAACATTTCCACGTCCTTTATGCAGACTGCAGGGCAAGCCGGAAGCAGAAAGATTCATCCAGCTGGGTCATAATTTTCAGCTCGGTCCCCATTAAATTCCTGCAACCTGACTGCAAAAACACAGCCCTTGAGAGAGATGTAATGATTTTATTGATAGCATACATTTTGAGTACACTGACTTGCTATATCCTTTGAACTCTGCTTCATCTCCTAGCTGAACGAAGCCTTGTTTTTCTATTTCAGAGACATATTGAGCATAAATGACAATGTTTATGAAGTGCTCTGAAGATGCAAAAGATATGCAAGTACAGCTGATGTCACCTGACAACATTTGCTTACTATTAGGGGTATATTTATCTCTTAATTAAATTAGATATGATGCCTTATTTAATAATGCAATGATTTTTAACATCCTTTTCCCAGTTTGCATGTTCAGTAACTGCTTGCACAAGATACATAATCATGTGCATCACCATAGTAGACAGGAATATCATACCCCCCTGCAAAGCAGTTCTGAAGTTGGAAAAAGCTTGTATTAACTTTTAATGTCCCCATCCTTCATGTGGAGAAGTGGACATTCTGAAGCCAGGTGTGACTGCAGTCAGTTGTGGTCACCCCATGCCAGCAAAGACTGCCTGTTGTCCACACTGCTCACCTGAACATTGCTGCACTTACCCTTCTGTTGTTGGTGGTTTTAAAAAAGTCTCATTTAGTTTTTCTTGTGGTGGAAAAGCTATGGTTCTTGGTGGGTAGACACATATGCAGTTTTCCCATGGACAAGCTATTTGAAAAATACAGGTTATAAAGTAAACACAGTTTAAAAAAATGTATTTGTTTTTGACCAGAAGGAGCCAAATTCAGCATTGAAATTATTATTGCTGTAGCTGATTTAATCCTTTGTTTATCTTCATTTCTATTTCTGCTGCTGTGAGTCTTGTTTATAGCTTTTCAGCCAGAAGACTATCCTGAAGGAAATTACTGTCAGCAGCCAAAAAGAGTATCAGTAATTCATCCTCAAGCACCGTCAACTTAATTCTAAAGTGATGTCGCTGCTTTACAAGTTCAGGCTGAAGTGGTGAGTTTACAAATCCATAAATCAAACCACATCAATAAAGGAAATATATATCTCTTTTACAAATATTCTGTTTTCCTAAAACTTCATGGTAAGCTTAGATTTTAGTAATTGGATCTTCAGTTACTAGAAAAAAATTGTGATCTGTGTTCTGTACGTCACAGGAAGGTTTAAAATAGAAAAGCTAAATAACTACTGCCTACTCAACCCTAATAAGTACACATTGAACATCCAGAATGGTAGCATGAAATGGCACCTTGGAAATGGCACCTGCCTTTCCTAGGCCATTTAATTTGTTTAACAATACCCAGCAGCTGACAGCCCCCAGCTGCCACTCTGAGGGCAATGGAAGGTGTGCCCTTCTCACCTGGACTGCAGAGGGCCTAGGGCCTGGAGAAGGAACTTGTTTTGCACTGCTTCAGCACCTTAGAATTTGATAACTTAAGGTGTGGGATAGTGCTGAAATTGGTTGTAATTATAAAGGGCTCAAATTATTGAGCTCATTCGTGAGCTCAACAGCTGAATGCAAGCCAGTGTTCTGGTGTCCTCTTGAGCCTGGGGATGATCTGCATGTTCCAGCTGTGCTGTGAACCCAGAGTGATCGTCTGGGTTGTAGAGAAGTTTCTCTGGATTTGTGATAGCATAAATGAGTTTGGGTTGTGTGTTCCTCTGAGCAGCATGGGGCGCGTGAGGCCTGGGCGAGGCCTGGGCTCTGCGGCTCGCACCCCCGTTGTGCCTGCAGCCTGTAATGGTTGTGGGCAGCACGGGAGCTCATGAAACGTCCTTGGTCTGAATGTTTCTGAACTGACCTAATGTATCCTGAGTAATAATAAAACTGATTGAAATTCTTTAGGTCTAAAAGTGCCACTTAGAGAGCTGATTTGGACACTTTCTGTGCAGAATCAGCAAGCGATGTGGTGACATACAGCCCCAAGTGCAGGACCAAGAGCCTGGCAGTCCATGCGAGTGCATCCCCTGCCTTCAGCTCAGCCCACTGGCAAAAATGTGCAGAATTTATTGTCCAGGGCACAGCTTATTGCCACAGGCAGAGTGAAGCCTCAGCATGCATTCAGATTCAGAACTGCAACCAGCACTTAGTGAATAGCAGCCACTTTCTGAGTCTCAGCACACTATGAAAATCCTTCTCAAATCAAATGCCCCCGGGGGAGTGAGAAATTAAAGATGCTCTTCCACTGTGGGCTGGGGCATGCCACTAGATCAATACTCAGCATAAAGAGCTTTCTGCTTGTCAGTACAGGGTAGGGGTGGCAGTCGGGGCGGACACTCCTTGTAACAAGCAAACCAACAGGCGACATACCAAGTAACATGAGAAAATGACGGTGGTGATGAAGACCAGGAGGAGAGTACAGTAGTGAGGGGCCCTGCGATGCCTGAATTGGAAAGCATTTTGCTTCTCAGCTTGAACTTTTTAATTAAGGAATTTCACAGTAATTTCAACTACGTTTAAAGAGCAATCATTTCAGTGCTCTCACTCACTAAATATTTCTTGCAGTCTAACTAAGCAGTGACGGAGGTGGGAGCTGAATTCCTTCAGCTCCACTGCATTAACAGCAACTCCTTTCCAGCCTACGCTGCAGGTCGGTGCTGTCCTGTGGCAGCTTTCTTGGGCTTACAGGGTGTGGAGAGCTCAGACAGGGCCGGTACTGTCCCTGGCTGGCACTCGGGACCCGCGTGTACTCAGACACAGTCCCAGGCAGCACAGGCTGTGGGAAATATTTTCTGTCGTTTCCTCGTTTCCTCGAGGGGCAGGGAGGGAAGGAAGGACACTGGTCGCTGTAGGAGGGGCAGTAGGTACGGCTGAACTGGAAGGAGGGGAAGGGCTCAGGGATATAATGAGGAGGTGGGGGAAATGACACGGGAATGAAAGGGTGAGTGAGTATATGAGATACCCACTCATCCTGGCCTTTCTCTGTTCAAAGCACTCCCTCAAAGGGTGGGTACAAGACCTGAACAGAGGGGATGGATGTCAAAATGTTTCCATAAAGAATATAGTGTAATAAATCAGAGAAAAGGGCAGAAAAGAGGCAAGGAGCAAATGGTAGGAGAATTATTTTTATTCAGAGTGAATGATTATGTCTCCTGGGTGATTACACATCGGGGTGGTGGTGTGTTGGGGAGGACTATTCAGCTAGAGAAAAAGGAGTGCTCAAATTGCAATCATTGAACTAAAGTGCGTGCAAAGGTGTAAATAAGATAAGAAAAGGTCAGAGAAGAGAAAATGCAGCAGGATTCAACATATCTGGGGCACTGTAGTCCTCAGGAGTTAAGACAACTATCATACAGGCGTAGGAGAGCTTTCAGAGGAAGATAGTTTGAATACTGGCAGAGCATAATCAAAGAGCTGCTGGGGTAAACAGCAAAGACTATAAAAAATACTGAGAACACGTAACTTGCAAGTGTTTGGTCAAGTACAAGACCAATGATTTTTTTCAAGTTGTCTACCAAACAAGGCCTCTAGCAAGAAATACCTGCTGTATAACATGCACCTATAAAAATCATACCAGTATAAGGATGAAGAAAGACAAGTGATACAACGCCAGTGTCATGTATCCAAGCATTATCCTTCAATAACCTTCTGGTAGGAAAAGGTTTTAGTAGGGCTGTAACAGTTCGTGGGGCATCAGGAAAATTGTGTGACATTAGGAGCTCTGGAAAAATAATTGCTGTGTTTTCTCGATAGCTTAGCAGATGTTTTTACTCTCACTAGTACCTGTAGCTGCCAACTGGCTCTTTCCCATTTTGACTGAAATTATAGATAACTTTCAAATCTGAACCAGGTTTAACTTTAATCCATTTGATCCCCTGGAGCTGTGGCTTGACCAATATATGCCAGTGATGACTGTATATAAGACCAGTGGCTTTTTGTGTGGCCTTGGTATTGCCAGGCACTGCCTTCACTGTTCTATTTAGCAACTGTTGTTGTATCATGCATTGCACAGCGATGGGTTCAGGAACTTCTGTCACTGGAAGGGGGACCTGAAATAACAGAGTGAGTTTTAAATTCCTAGTGACAGTAGCTGGTATGTCTCAATATTCACTTGTTTTTGTAAAAAAAACCCTGCAGCATCAGTGGAAAACATTATTTTTCTCACTTCACTCAGAAGGAGGGAAAAACAGATGAGGATTCCTGCTTGGAATCCAAACTCTGAAAGCTTCGAGTTACTTTATGCAGCAGCCCAGCATTCAGAGACCCAGGGCATGGAGGCAGTAAATGCCACTACATGCCAATTCCCCACTTCCCTAGACTAGCTTTCTGGTCAAAGTTAATGATTCATAAGATTCTGCACTGATTTCACTGTGAGCTTCACATTTGCATAAGTAAAAGCTTATGCAGCTTCTGTAGGGAGATTCTTGGTGAAATTGCAGTACAAAACATTGATATTATGTAATTATAGTAGTTCATACCAACTTAAATGAAATTGTTACTTTAAACATGCTCTAAGTGGCTCACAATGAAACTTTTGTACGACACACCTACAAAACAAATGAGTTAATCACAATATGTGTCATTTTTAATTTTTCTCTTTCATTTCTCTTTCAGTAATTCTCTCTTTGTAATTAGCATGAAGACTATCCTTCAGTCAAAACTAGCCACCTGGAAAGTTTCAGCTTGTAATATGCAGCTTTTTTGTGAATTATGAATGTGCAAAAAAAGAGACCTTTCTCCCCACACCCCCTTCCTTGCATAATTCAAATATGAATGAATGAATTTTATTCAGGCTTACAAAAAATAAAAAAATAAATCATATTTCAGCTGATAACAAGCATGAGAAATTTCAGATGAAAGGGAATTTTTTTTAAAGAATATTATGAGCATGGGCGAACAGCAGGTTAAGATGGAAGGCTCAGTGCAGCCTTAGCTATAACAATTGCTAGCAAGCAAATACTATATCCAAGCACTAAATCTTGCTTTGTGCTGCCCCGGTGCACAGTAGTGGGGAGAGAATAGAATAATAAAAGCCTGTCCCCTTATGCAAACAGCAGGGCATAGCACTCAACAGAATACAAGAAGAAGGTGAGCCTGCCTACTGTTCTGGCTTGCTAACCATATTCCTGAGGTCTGTGGGTTAGTTGTCACCCCTAGCTCCAGTCAGCTAGCAAATGTACTTCAAACAATAGCAAGGGGCACATTTTGGGCCTTTCCAGAAGAACATTGTACCAATTCTTTGCCTCCAGATATACTGTTCTGTTAAATAAAGTATTTGAAGGAAGTTCATATAAGCAACACGGTGGTTTAACAGGTCAAAAAGGGAGTGGAACAGCTGCTAGATTTTTTCTGATTAACCGTGTATGTTAAAAAATACAGAACTGTGAAGAAGGCATTACGTGCAAGCCCTCACTTACTTTCCTGCTTTTCAAGTGAAGCACCCCCAGATTTCGGCTCATGCCAATACCACTTTGAAAGTGAACTTTCACAAGAACTAAAGATGGTGATCTGGAACACCTTTCTGCACTGCATTTTCTCTTGCTCCTAATACTGCTCTGGTGATAAGTCTGTCTCATATTTTCTGCCCAGAAAACAATATTAAAGAAGCATTCACTTACTGCTAATAAAAAACTGTCCACCACTGTGGCTAAAGACTAATGAGCACTTCAGAATTTATGCATGGTAAGCCCAGACATAAAAAAAATCTTCTATTCTGACAAGAGTTGCCTGTTGCAAGTTGAATTTGGCAGTAAGTGACTGAAATTGAGTTGTCAGCATCCTCTTGCATAGTAGGAAAAGTTGTTGCTTTCTTGTGCAGATGCAAGAGTTTCTGTGGGAAAACAGAACATAATCATGGTTCTGAATGTCTCTGCGGATTGGTAATGTCTCTAATACATAGATCACTTGTGCAAATTCAGTCCCAGCTGGATGGGAAATTATTGAAAATGGTTGTTGTTTGATTGATATAAAATGAGTTGTCAGCTTGATTCAATGCCTCTAGGGCAGATGTCCACAGCGTAATTGGCACCTGTCAGAAGCAAAGAATTCCTTGGTACAGAGTAACAACTACTCAGGCAGCCACCCCAAAATAGTCCTTGCGTGCCAGGGCTCGGAGGGAAGGCAGGCAAGAATAGTTTCTACTTTCGGGCAGAATCTTTTATGCCATAAAATCAGTAAGAGATTTGACATGACACTTGGCGCAAGGTTTTTCTTGGCTAGAGACTGTCAGCCAGCTCCCCTGCTGTTTGGGCAACACTTTCACTAAGAACCAGAGGAGGGAAAGCACATACATTTATATATTTGTTAATATCATCATGGTAAGGGTATATTTATAAGGATTTTTTTACATATTTACTTACTAAAAGAAATGCTGTGAACAATTTTATTTTCCTACATCTTGAGCAATTCTCCTTACATCAATGATAACCATACAACTAGGGAAATAAGAGAAAGTCTTCTCAGAAAAAAATATGGCAAAGAAACCACCACTACTGACAATGCAGCGGTCAATATTAAACTGTTTGCTAATGGTAAGGAGCTACCCATTGTTTACCACTGACTGGAATAAAACTGATTTTTTTCCTACAAGTCACCAAATAGCTGTCATATGGTTGTTACTGCCTTTGACCAAGTCTGGTACAGCTAACAACAGGAATGAATTCAATCTCCCGTCACCAATCTGTCGAGCTGGCCACCTTCTTCATGGAGCTGCTGCTCTGGGAGGTGCCAGCTGAAGGGCTTTCCATTAAAATTCATTTTACTGTCTTCATCTAGCGAATGGCTCAACTTTCCTTCTTTCATCTCTGTTTCCTCCTTTAGATTATTTTTCATTATGCCTCCCCCCCAACGTACAGACACTTTTCCTTTCATCTCTATATGTATGCTATTCCAGCACTTGTCAGCCACAGCAGGAGGGACATGGTAGAACCAAACAATATGATATGTTAGGTGGAAGAAAATATTATTATCAGACGCCTCAGAACAATCATTTATTGTCACACTTTAAAGAGGTCTGCTATGTTATTTATTTTATTATTCTGTATTAGGTACATGGTTTAATTTTACAGGCATTATTAATCACTAAAATACATTACACTTTCAGCCAGGATGTTAACATTTTAAATGCATTCATCTTGCTTCTTTAAACAGAAACAATGGGCCTTCTGCAGTGCCCTCCCTCCCCTTTAGTCAATAAATCCTTTCTATTGATTCAGGAAATAACTCTAAGCACTGTTTTATATTTTAAGTTCTACTAGCTAGGCTCAGCCATATAATTTTGCTTAATAACAAATGGATCTTCTATTTTTGCTGGTTACTACGTGTTTGTTTATCAAACTCGGTTTGGAAGTACTGGGTAGCAAAGCACAACACTTACAATGTCAGAGAGGCACCACAAGAGATTTCCTAAATGAATGTTACAACAAAATAAAGTATTAAAAAAAAAAAAAGTGTGTGTGTATGTGTGTGTGTAAAAAGCAGCCTCATCAGTAGATGAATGATAAATGAAAAATCCATCAGTGAGTATGGATTCCCTTGAGCCAGCTTGGATCAACAGACAATATGGATTTTTGATAATTCATGGCTTTGCCATTATTTATTCTCTCCTGAAATACCCATTGCAAATCTCAGAGAGATAATTAGAGAATTATCATATTGCTTAACTAAGTAGTGCAAATTGTATTATATTCTATGTATCCCAACCCAGGGCAGTATCATTAGCATCATTTAATTGTTGCAAATATAGTCATTGCATTTTAATAAATTGTCTTCATTGTCAATATCTACGATTGACTATTTCTTTTCTCTTAATGTTCCTGGATAGGTTAGTTACCAGGTAATCTTACAGTTAATATATACCACAATGAGGCAAAATGTAAGAAAATGCAAAGGTCAAAAACATGTTTCTATTATGAAAAAAATGAATGATAATGACATAATTTTTTCAGCTCATCAGGTTCTTTGCTAAGTGCCTCTGTTATTGCCAGATCAGTAGTGTATAACAAAGAAGTGCTTTCTGTGGACTGCTTCATTAGCCTGCCCTGTAGGACCTCACCTCAGACCTTTCACTAATCTGTTGGCCAGCTCAATAGCCTTGTTAGTTCTATTCACTTCTTCCTGGCAGCGGCTTTTCTCAGCTGTAGCTCTCTCCTCTCAAAGGAAGTGGTTAAGGCAGCCAGGATTGTGTCTAGTTCCTTCAAATAAAAACAGTAAGAAACAACTTGGACATTGTGAGAACACGTAAAAATATTTCTGCTGTCCCATTTTATATTTCTGAAAATTAAATTATACAGTGCAAGAAAGGTGTAAACATCTACTGCTCTTTGAGCCTTTGTCTAGGTCACACTTGAAAGGCGGATTTTGGAAAAGCTTGGGGAAAATGTGGCTGGTCTTTAATGTTCCCCACTTGTTCACAACAGCATTAAAAATGAATCCTCAAACTTGATCTTATATCAGTACAACAGGAACGCCACCTTCTCCCACAGGACTTTGAAATGTACCAAAATATAGGATATTTCTTACGACAGCTGTATATATTCTATAGGTGATAAAAAATTGCAAAATCTCTGGAAACTAAAGAGAATAGGAATGTCAAAGATGATTAATAGATAAAATACTTGACAATGCACAAGTCAATGCTGACCTGTCCTTTGCTGACTTTCAATAGACCACACTTCCAAGCGCAGAAAGCCCTTCTGAAAACAGAGCCTGAAATCCCCAGCCACCTTGGGCCTGGGAGCAAGCAGCTCGGTGCCTGGCCCATCGCGGCGTTCAAGCACACACTGTCCCACTGGGTCAAAGCCTGAGCTATCCCCAGGGGGAGGAGCGGAAGGTAATTCAGCACGGATGGTTGAGCACGAGGACAGGGCAAGAGCAACGCAGCTCGGGAGAGTCGCAGGAAAGGACCCAAGTGTTTCTAAGCGCAGAAGAGGAACGGGCTGGAAGCTGACACACCCAACACCAGACAGGTGCTGCAAAGGCCCCATGTAGTGAGTCCAATGTGCCATTGGGAGTGTGGGCAGGGTGAGTGGCCAACAAAACAGATGGGGGCAGGTGTCATCCCGAGCAGCCCCTCGGCTCGGCACGTGGGTTCCCAGGCCCCTCACTGACCTCAGCCTCCTCTTGAAGTGAGGAGGAACAGGGCGAGGCAGCACTCATATACCACAGCACACAAGAAGGAGCTGGGTGATGGGGCAGATGGACTGGTATTTTACCGGGGTGGTTTGGAAGAACAGAGTAAATTACAGAACAAACCTTTCTAAAGGGGGGCCCACAGATGTCCTTTGCTGAAGGGCCCAGCAGGAGGTCTGAGCACCCTTCCTGCCTGCAGGCACTCCAGAGGGAGCAGCGCAGGCGCCTTGTCTCCTGCCCTTACTCGCCTCAGTGCAAGGTGAGCGCAGGCAGCCCCTGTGTGTGTGTGTCTGTGTGTGTGTGTGTGTGTGTGTGTGTGTTTTTGTGTGTGTGTGTGGTGTTTGTGTGTGTGTGTGTGTCAGAAACACACCCGGCAGCGCGGCCAACCCCTGTCCCTGCACAGGGTGGGTGCCGATGCTGAGCAGGAGCTCACCACACGAGGTAAGTGGCAGCTGTGGTGCTGAGGCATGCAACGTGGCTGCAGAGGATGTGGATGTGGCCCAGGCATTTACCTGAAACTATTAAAAATGTTACTGTGATAAATTACACTGGCAAATTCCTTTGCTTCATACAATGAATCACACTGTAAAGACCTCAGACAGAGAAAGGCATTATAAATAATTGCATTTTAAAGTTCTCTAAAATGACCAAGAAGCTTTTTACATACATCTAGTGGTCCTGGTTTAAAAGTTCAGGTCCTCAGGCCAAGCAGGATCCCAGCTTTCCTCAAGATCTCCGTCTCCCACAGCTGTGTGCTCTGACAGAGCTCATTGCTTGCTGCCCCTATACATTACCCATACACAAATGACTACGGACAAACGAGTAGCAATAGGTCTGCAAGTCAGATCAAGGGCCTAGCACCAAACCTGAGGGGATGGAGAGAGAAAAAAGAAGGAAAGCTACTTGCTGTGCTGCGCGTGGTGCTGCAACTCTCAGGCAGGCAGCAGAACTTGCTCGGAGCTGTTTGAGCAGGTCCTTCAGCAACCAGGAACGATTTTTTACTGAGCTGGGCTGAAACACCTGCCCTCGGTTCAATGTTTGGCAACTTTTCTTCTTGTAAAAGAGTGAAATAAAGAGGAGGTATCTGAAATGAAATATAAGTGGACAAGAGAGATAAAAAAAACATATATTTGTGGTTAAACAGTGGAAGAACAATTCCAGTTCACACAGGGCAAAAACATGACCCAAGGAAGCTGCCAGAGGCAGCAGAGTGTGGCTGGACAGGAGCTGCGCCTGGGGAACAAAGCTGCCAGCGCCTCCCTGAGTAGTTCAAGGTTTTATCATAGGAAATGCTGCATGCCAGGAAAGGTACGCAGCTCACCGTTGGGTACCACTTCTTGCCTTTCATCTTTTTCTACCTCATTTGCAATATGAGCACCCCGCCTCAGCCCCCCTTCTCATCTGGCAAGGCGGCTGTGGTGTGCAGTGGTTTTGGGCAAGGTTATGGGGGCCAAGCCGCAGCACCACTCCCTGCTCGGATGGAAACCCAGAACAATCAGGTCCTTAATGTGCTACAACCCATTTGCCTAGTCACATTTTTGACTTTCTGTAAATAATGTGCTAAACGGAAAAAAGAAGATACCATTTTTCCTTCTTTCCCTCGTGTTACTGATAACAAGACAAGTTCCTTCCCTTACAGTTTGTGCATATAAATGTGATTAATGTAAAAAAAAAAAAAAAAAAAAAAAAAAAAGTGCCAAAATCTCTTTCTCTCTCTCTCTTTTTTTAAAGCATTGCCCTTTTCAAAACAAGGGGAAATTCAGTATAGTTTCAGTGCCACAGTGATCAAACAGTGTCACATCACTATGGCAATTGCTGCCCAGGCCAGGAATACAGATCAGCTTTAATTGTGCAACGCCTTATTGCTGGTGCATGTCAATCAGAACCTATGAATTGAGAAAAATTTGCTCTGTTCATTCTGTTAAATGATGTATCCAATTAAACCTGTTAGAATTCATGATCTTCAGTCAAGGTTAAATGAAAGTAGTTACTCCTGTCAGCTAGGTGATTAAATGCTGCCTACATCAGGCACATTTATGTGCAAAATTAAAATTTTGGTATAAAGCATGAATCTTTATGCATGCCAGTTAATTATCTTGCGGTTCCTCCATTTATTAAATGCCCACTGCATTTCTTCTTAATCATCAGCTTCCTTTCAAAACTTATTTCATCCTCTACACTATACCAAATTTCAATGTTTAAAATGAAACGCTTTCTCAATGAAAACTTCCTCTTTTCAAAGGTTTGGCTGTTGCTACGTTACTGAAGATGGCCATTAACAGTTTTTTGAGTCATTATGCAGAAGGCCGACTTGTGTTGTTTTGTTCTGCTCCGAGAGCACGCGATAGGAGCCCCCAGAGCTGCCACCAGCCATCCCCTCCTTCACAGAACTCTCTGAGTTTTGCTGCATGTCAGCCAACTTCAGCACACAGCCGGGCAGCAGGAAATCGAGCAGCAGTCACACTCCTCCAGCTGCCTCACGCTGGAATGGAAGGGCGAGGAGACAGCAGGGTGTGGGCATCCACAGGCACTGGGTCCTTGCTCCAGCAGAGCTGGGGCCAGCCCACAGACACCAGAGCCACCATGACGTGGGCTCCAAGGGCTGGCCCCTGCCTGCTGCCAGCCTTCATCTGCATTCCCTTCGGTTTGGCAATGTGATGTGTCCCGTTTGCCCTAGGTAGCTACCATATTGCAATATCATACTTTAATTAGAAGGAAAATAATGTGTTGCATGCTTAAAATTAAATTAAATTGCATATTTATATTTATAAGACACAGTATTGGCAGGACCTAAATGCTGTATGAATTGAGGAACCAGAATACAGGTATATTATAGTGATTTCTAGCTGAAACAGTTGCTACAAAAGCATACAAAACAGAGCAGCACCAAATGTTAATTTAATACCCTAAGACAAGGCTCTGTGCTCATACAAGCACAATTTCACATATTCTATGTGAGCATTTATCCCCTTTCATTATGAAAAGGTATTAAGAACCTTTGTTACAAACAAGCAACATAAAAATGTCATACCACTTCATGACTACTAATGAATAATATCATTTAAAACAGACTGGGAAATAAACTAGTATAACACATTCAACTAAACTAGTACTATAAATATGCACAAAGTTGTTATTAAAGATAAATGCACACAGTAATTTTCTACTTGTAGGTTTTACAGGTATAATTTTGAATCACACAATATTTTTTAAAACACATCACAGAGATGGGAGCCAACAGAAAGCCTGACTGGCAGTGATTCCCCATGATCAATATGTGATGTCTCCATCTGTCTTTGAGGGCCCACATAAATTACCCCGTGGCAGCGTGAACCTGCAAGATGGGTGATGCGATTGATGTGTTCAGGGTCACAACAGGCAGTGCCCAACCAGGCATTTCCCCTGTGGCACTGTGGTAGAGCGGCCGCATTCACAGAGCTGGACAGGGGCCAGCGGGTGCCCGGGGCAGTGTGGCCAGGAGCATGGTGAACCAAGCTCCCCTCAAATCCCCGCTCCTGTGGGGCAGCTCATTTTCTCCCTGTTCTGTGAGTTTTTTAGTGCCTGGGATCAGGTCAGCAGCACGGAGAGGCCATGCACAGATTGGCCTTGCCCGTGGGCCTCCCTGCGAATCCACAGAGCAGGGAGCAGCAGTGCCTGCTCTCGCCTTTCCCCTGGCAGCAGCCTCCTCTCTGAGCCCTGGGCAGCAGCAAGTGAATGAGCTTTCCTCTCTTGCTCCCATCAGCTGCAGATAACAGAAAAGCAGGTATTATTTTCCTTTTCTGTTCAGCAACTGCAAGCCCAATCTCTCTAGATACCTCGACAAAAGAGGAATAAAAGGCAACCTTCACTGTCAGAGAGAATAATTCCTCCGGGCCTCTTGCAGGAGATGGTGTTGCACCAGGAAGGTAGATGCACAATAAGCCTCTTTGGAGGTTGCTGGGATGTCTACTGCTGAACTGCTTCAACCTGCTTGGACCATCTAGAATTTAGATGGTCCTGCTCTTCTTTCTCCAAGTATTCTCTCACTCTGATCCTTTAAACCCAGGTATCATAAGCTGTGAACACCAGGCCCAATGTACCATAACAGTAACTCATGAAAAGATACCAGCAGGGCAATTTATTTCTACTCAAAAAAAAACCAACAATTTCCCCATCTTAAAATTGCGATT